CGGGTTCAAGCAATTCTTCTGCCTCAGCCTCCCAAGCAGCTGGGGCTACAGGCATACACCAACATGCCCAGCTTATTTTTGTATTTTTAGTAGAGACGGGGTTTCACCACATCAGTCAGGCTGGCCTTGAACTCCTCACCTCGTGATCCACCTGCCTCAGCCTCCCAAAGTGCTAGGATTACAGGCAGGAGCCACTGAGCCAGGCCAAACATGTTTTTTTAGAAGTATAAGGGACACCAGAATTTATTAACATACAGTGCATGCGTGCGTGTGTGTGTGTACCCCTGACACATGAGAACAGTGCTGTTTCCATGGCAACGGGGGAAAGTGTGTCTTGCTATGAAGCAATCTTCTTAGATTCAGACACACTTATAAAGATCATGTGCTGGAAGCTGTGAGGGATATATTTGATTCTAATATTCTTTGAGATGAGGCAGGCTATTCTCCCTGCCTCCCCCAGCCATTCTCCTATGCTGAACCTCCAAACTGAGCTTTCAGTACATGTTTTTCAACTGTTTTCTCACATCCAGCCTAGTGACAGCCTCCGTCACTGTACCATCTACTGTATCCATTGGGGTTTCTCAAACCTGGCAGTAGACTTATTGTCATTGATCCTGAAGCACTGACTCTGTCTGTGTGTGTGCGCGTGCATGCATGTGAGTGCATGTGCATGTGTGTGTGTAGGAGGAGGAGGAAGAGGAAGAAGGAAACGAAGCATCAGCATAGAATTTTAAAATGTGAGAAAATTGACTTGATATCCAAGGTTTTTATAGTAGTGATCCTTGGTCTGTAATGTCTGACTTCCTTTTGAGATGGTTAAAAAGTAAGAGTTTTAGTTTTCAGCCCTCTATTTTTTCTCCTGGACCCGAAGTTCGCAAACTGTTCCCTTTCTTCTGATCTCGTTTTTGGGTGTAGACAAAGTTCAACATAACAGGAAATGTTCCTTTGCTTTAAGTGAGCAGTTGATTTCTGAGGCTCTGTCCAGATAGGCGTGATTGTGCCTGGGCTTTTTCTCAAAGACATGTCATGTGATTTCTAGCAGTGGCTCCCAATTGAACTTTTATCGTTGTTAATAATCCTCACAAATAATTATAATGTGGTTTACTTATTTTATTTTCTTGCCTGTTAATGGCTAGAACTTTGAAATACAGTGATCCTGATGAATAAGAATGCCTCAACTATTAGGCAAAAAACACAATTACTTTTGTACCAACCTAATATTTAATCATATTTTGAAGAGTCTAAGCTTAGGCATTTACCCATAGTAGTTTTCTCAGAGGAAACTTTCATCATATGCTTTCTTAATCAGGAATCTGATAATGACTGCACAATTAGCCACCAGGCAAGAAGGAAGGTATAGATCTTCTAAGTGATCTCCTGATACTCAGAACTTAATCCAATACCACAGTCCACTTTTAAGAGTGAGCTCCACTGAGGAGAATGTTCCCTTAATATACAATCATCAATCCTGTAGCTGATTAGAAAGCAAGATCTTCATTCAACTGTGAACATTAATGATGGTGTGCACCTCAATAAAGAACAATGTCAGGCTGAATTTAAAGACTGTAAACTGAGTATACAAAGGAGCACGAGACAGTAACGGAGTCTTGGCCCATAAGAGTCAAGCAGGAAATATTGTTGGTGCTCATCTTCCGCCCACACCCACCCATGATAAAGGAACAAATGATGATCCACCGAGTCTTAGCAGCAAGACACTTCTTGTGCTATATACAGAGAAGGTAAAAAACACCAAGCCAATGACAACTGCCTGTGTACAACTCATCTTCCTTTAAAGAGATGGTAACTAAGTTCATCTAGCCACTTTGTTTTCCACATTTGCATCGAATAGATGAAGCCTAAGAAGAAAAATGCCATTTTCCTAGGCTTCTCACAATCATAAAGGGTCCGTAGGCATAGGGATTGGGAATGGTTAATTAATACTTACATTATTTTGCTTCCTTTTCTCCTGTTATTTGTATTTTCCAATGGAGTAAAACAGGGTTCAGCTTGGAAAACAAAGAAGCAATAGTTCTTAAAATACTGTTAACTCTGTCTGTGGACTGTACGCACAGCACAGTCACAAGGGCAAAGTCATAAATGATGTGGCTTTGTTCACGAGGCTTGCTGTATTTTCATAAATACATTAAATTGCATAAAATAAGGAACAACAACAGGAATGTATTACATTTTCTTGTTTTCTTATTGTCATGATTTCTGTTGGATCTAAGTACAGTTCTTTCCTAGCTAGCACTAACTATCAGCATTCTAAGTCACCATTCATGAAATCCTATGTTCTGTTCCTCTATTATGAAAACGGTTTTCTTTACACCAGATTTCAGTTGATTTAGTGACTTGGTAGACTTGCAGTGTGGCTCTACATTCAAAATACCCACAGAATCTGACCTCTGCCACCGCCTGGCCTGAGCCAGCCTCATCTCTCCCCTAGACCACTGCAGTGGCCTCTGGCCTGGCCTCCCTGCCTCCATCCCTGCCCCATTACAGTTCATGCTCAAAATAGCATTCAGAGTGGTTCTTTAAACACAAAAACCAGAACAGGTCATTCCTCTGCTCAGAGCCCTGCCAGGCACTCCATTTCACTCAGAGTCTTCACAGTGAAGTGGGGGACTGCCATAACTGGGACCTCCCCATGCTGTGACCACATCTCGTATGGCTGTCTCTTCCTTACAGTTCTAGCCACATTACCTTCTTGCTGTTCTCTTAACATGCCAGGCGCTCCCTCTTCCCTCTGTCTGTAATGCTCTTCTCTATATATGGACATAGTTACTTCCCTCATTTCTTTCAATTTTTGTGTTGGAATACCATCTTCTCAACAAGACCTGTCTTGGCTGCTTTACCCTGTCTACCCT